TGGTATTCGCTGGAAAAAATAGAGAAAAATGATTTCGCCTATTGATTCTTTTCAATTTTTCCTGTTTCAAGTGCGCTATATCCCCAGCTCTAGTTTACTGGGGAAAGTTGGGTTTTGGGAAACTCCCGAAAATGGCGGGAAGTTGGGAAAGCTCAGGAAGATAGTAGGTAGGATAGGGATGGGAGAAGGGAGGGTGTCGTATCAGAGGGCAACTTCAGAGTTTGGAGGGTCCTGTTGTGCTAAAAAAATTCCCAAACGGCAGGACGTGCCCTGACTGAGAAGCATGCGCGCAAGGTGAGTTGAGATCGTAGGGGAGTCGCTCCCTCCAAGTCCTTTAACCGATCGATTGGGATTAAGTGGAAGTATCACAGGACCGATTCTCAGGGTACTCTCTGGGGATTTAGTTTTATGATCGATCGGTAGTCTGTGATGTATTGAGACGGCTCGCGATCGATATGAAAGACGCGTTCGTCTGACGGCTGCCCTCGACTGTTTTATTGCCCCTCGCCCAAACGCCTCCTCCCGATTCCTCATGTGCCCTTCATCAATGCATCACTTGGTCGTGCTGGGATCCCTCTTAACTCATTTCCACTGCTAGGATTTCAAATTTAGCGTTTTCCAGTGCAGATCCTATCATCCAGCCAGCCATTTGCATAGGTTATAGGCCCTAATTAATAGTCAGCCGGCTGTCACGTCACTTCTTCCCTCGCCTTCACCTCCCGTCGTTCCTGACACTACCCTTTTATGTCGATACCCAGATGTTGCATAATTTAGAATTAGCTATATTTCAAAATCACTGCGACCTTTCCCTACATAGAATGTTCGTAGCTCAGAAATTCAACGTCTCGAAATCAGCCAGACCACCTGTTTTCAAAAATTTTCGTTTGGCTGGTAATAAGGGTGCATTATCTGAGCCCTTACACTCTAAGGAAGTACTGGTTGAAGTCAATGTCGACCTTCTCCCAAAATGAGGCTTTTTTGCGAATTTCAAAAAGTATGTCTTTTCTGGTTGCCATACCAGTTGGTCTTTTTGGCCGGTTTTGCAATTTTTCGCAATTAGCCGTTTTTTAATAAATTGAAAAGTGAAAGAAAGTGGGAGAGACTACGACCCACGCAATAATTTCCGCATTTCTTTGAAACAGAGGAACTCCTCTCGAATGTGCAGAAACCCTTAGAAACTCGCCCGTATTTGCTACTTTGTGCGCTACACCAAGGTACTTTTTCCATCCGTAACCGTTCTGAGACTCTCATTTTACTGAATTTTGTTGCTTTGTCGCAAGAATATCGATGTGATTTTTTGACCATTACTTGCAGTTTTCAGAAGCAGGACCATGGTAGGGACCGTAGTGGAGAACTTGAGCAATCGAAAACTTCTCTATATCTTGGCATCGCTTCTAGCTACGCAAATCGCATTCTTTTTGGTTGGAGCATGGTACGGTGAGTATTTTCATTTCTTGGTTTTGAGGCGAGGAACTTGCTGCTCTAGCCTAGTTCACTGGTTGGGGGGGGGGGGAGACGGTCAAGACAGTCGTAATTTGCCGCTCCGGCACGCGCGACGATGGGAGCGGCGTTTCCCTCCGTTCACATTAGCTTGTCAACCGGCTTTTAGGTAGACTGCGAAATTGTAGATATTCATGGCCATTTTTAGTTATACATTGTCCATTTTCGGTCACACGCCAGCGCGGCGAGTAGCAATTGTCTTGTCACACCCGGGGCCGCGGGGGGGGGGATTCGGAGGTCACGCAGCTTCGCGTCATTGTCTGCCCTATAAAACCTCGCCGGACTCTAGTGGTTTGCGCTTTGACCTTTGCTCCCTATGTGCTGTGTTAGGCGTTCATACTTCGCAAGTCGAGCGATTGGCGATAGCGACTCACCGCGCTCCATCGCTAATCATCGGATCGCTGCTAGGTTTCAAATGAACTTCATTCTGACTGTGATTAGATTAGCTGTCGAAGCGGTCCAACGATTAGCGGTGGGGCGGGGTCAATCGCAATTGTGCTCGAGTCGCGAAGCATAATCGCAGGCTAAGCGCGCGACGCGCTCTGTTAGCAAATAAAAGGAGATGCAAATATAAACAAGCGAGCAAGATGCCTGCTGGCTAGTATTTTATGTCAGCACTACAAGAAGGTAATTTTCATGTATACGGCTATATTGACAGTTGCCACTATCAGTAAGTGCGCGTCACAGAAAGGCCAATACAGGTAAAAATCATACGTTTCTGGAGAACGCGCGAGCAAACGTATAGAGAAGCGGTTGGAAATCTCCCATTTCGACTGTAGCTTAGTTGGCTGTAGTGGCCCTTCTCAGACCAGGCAGCATTCAGAATTCGTGATGACGGGCGTCGAGGCATGCGACGCTCTGTAATGCGCGTCGACGCGCTACAATTGCAACAGCGCTCCAATGCCTTGTGCATTGAGTGAGCATGGGGAAGGAGGGTGTGCGTTGCCTAATCACGCAGTCCGGTATCGGGGGGAGACGTGCAACAGAATCGTCCGGGGCAGCGCCCGCGGCACGCGGCTCGTCGCGCGGCGAATGACTCAGCAGCTCCGATAGCTTTGCGACTGGAGCAAATG